ACCAGGGAAGTCTCATCCTGACTCCTTTTTTTTTATTTTTTTCTTTTAATGTGGTACGCGGGCCTCTCACTGTTGTGGCCTCTCCCGTTGCGGAGCACAGGCTCCAGATGCGCAGGCTCAGTGGTCATGGCTCACGGGCCCAGTCGCTCCACGGCATGTGGGATCTTCCCGGACCAGGGCATGAACCCGTGTCCCCTGCCTCGGCAGATGGACTCTCAACCACTTGCGCCACCAGGGAAGCCCCTGACTCCATTTTAAATGAGGTTTCTGTTTATCAATTTTCACACCTGTAACCCAGGTCATGATAAATTCTGTGGTTAAGGGGTGCCCTTTTTCACTGGGCACCCTGTGTAACTTTACTGCTGCAAAATCAGCAATAATTCAGAAGCCTCATCAAATTTGCTGTCTCAGTTTCTCCTCATGGGCTTTACAGATGCTAATAAAATCTCTAGGTTAATGAACAAGAGAATGTGGAAAGGTGGGGGGAGGGGCGGATCAAGGGATGCATCCCAGCAGGATGGAAATCCTTAGAAATGAGATAAATAAAACTGGACATTGATGGGATTGAAACAAAAGTCTTAATACAGCATGCTTGGAGGTTGGGTGGACAAAAGGGACCCCCTGGTGGGCCCCAAACAAGTCCACTCTATTTACTTCAGTTTGAAGAAATTTTTGTAAATTTAAAAAGCTGTCAGACAAAGATCACAATGAGAAACCTGACCTGGAGTAAGTTGGGGCAATAGCTAGGCAGTAAACCAAGATGAAGACTGTTAAAGTAACCAGATTAGGGCCAAGATGGAGTCACTCACGCTAAACCACATGTCATCAAACCAAAACGTCACTAAGTTTTTATGTTGGGCTCTCCTGGGAAAGGAAGACCTAAGCCAACCCATCAGCTCTTGCCTGCTCAGCACAAATTACCTGGCCCAGCTCTTCTAAGACTTCCCTTTGCTCCGAGTAAGGAAAGAAACCCTGCCTTAACAAATCAGCAAACGCCCAGTATAACTTCCTTGTTCCTGCTCCCTTGTGCCTATAACATTTCTTGCCTTGTATAGTTCTTTGAAGTTCCTATCTATCTATTGCTAGATTGATGCTCCCCAATTTATGAACCTCTGAACAAAGCCAACGAGGTCTTTAAATTTTACTCAGTTGGGGCTTTCCTGGTGGCGCAGTCGTTGAGAGTCCGCCTGCCGATGCAGGGGACACCTGTTCGTGCCCCGGTTCGGGAAGATCCCACATGCCGCGGAGCGGCTGGGCCCGTGAGCCATGGCCGCTGAGCCTGCGCGTCCGGAGCCTGTACTCTGCAACGGGAGAGGCCACAACAGTGAGAGGCCCGCGTACCGCAAAAAAAAAAAAAAAAGATAAGCAAAGCTGAACACTAGCTAAAGTGGTGAGGCTAGACTTTATTCGGTAATACTTTTGCAACAGGAAAGAGAGTCCAGCATAAACTCAACTCAACTTCAATTTGTGCAGGGGTCTGAGATAGAATTATAAATTTGAGGTCAATGGTATATAAATGGTGTGTTGATTGCCTTCCCAATATCATTTCTCTTCCTTTTTTTTCCCAATTGAGATATAATTGACATATGACATTGTGTAAGTTTAAGGTGTACAGTGTGTTGGTTTGACACATTTCTGTATTGCAATATGATTACTACAATAGTGTTTGCTAACACCTCTATTACGTCCCCTAATTATCATGTCTTTTTTGTGATGAGAACAATTAAAATCTAGTCTCTTAGCAATTTTGAAGTTTATAATAGAGCATTGTTGACTATAAGTACTATGCTATGCATTAGATCTCCAGAACTTTTTTATTTACTAGTACCAAGTTTGCACCCTTAAACATCTCCCAGTTCCCCCACCCACCCGACCCCACACACCCAGCCCCTGGTAACCACCATTCTATTCTCTGTTTTTAGTTCAGCTTTTTAGATTCCACATACAAGTGATATCATATAGTATTTGTCTTTCTCTGTCTGACTTATCTCTTAGCATTATGCCAAGTTCCATCCATGTTGTTGGATGCAAATGATGAATTTCCTTCCTTCTTTCTCATGGCTGAATAGTATTTCATTGTATATATTTAAATTTCCTCCATTCTATCAGAGTCTTAAATTTGTTCAGGATACCATGTGCCCAGTTAAATATACCTTCCCTGACTTCCTGGCTGCTGGAAATTGTCAGCTCTGACCAAAGCGGTAAACAGAAGTAGTCAGGTAAGAGTTCCAGGAGACTTTATACAAAGTGATAGATTAGGCTTCCATAAATTTTTGTCATTCCCCCATCTACCTGCCTGGAATATGAACTTGAACCTGGGGGCAGAGCATCTATCTTGTTATTTAAGGCAAAAAGAGCATGAGAATGAAAGCTACATGTGAGGATGGTGGAGAGGAACAGTCAAGGGTCCCTAGGACGCTGATGACATGGCAGAGCCCAGATCATGTATTTTTTTTTTAAACATCTTTATTGGAGTATAATTGCTTTCCAATGGTGTGTTAGTTTCTGCTGTATAACAAAGTGAATCAGCTATACGTATACATGTATAGCTATACATATACATATATAGATATATAGTATTTTTAATATTACTAGAAAAGCAAGCCCCCGTTTGGTTAAGCTAGAATAGTCACTTTTTTAGCTGTACAATCGTCCCTCAGTATCCATGGGGGATTAGTTCTGTTGCAGGAAAGGGGATCCCTCCCAGGGCTCTCGTCTAACACTCAGAAATGAATTGTCCGAGGAGACATATGCTGGCAAAGCAAGGGACGTTATTGGGAAGGGGTGCCTGGGCGGAGAACCGTAGGGTAAGAGAACCCAGGAGATCTGCTCTGCCACGTGGCTCACAGTCTCAGGTTTTAGGGTAATGGGGTTAGTTTCCAGGTTGTCTCTGGTCAATCATTCTGACTCAGGGTCCTTCCTGGTGGCCCGTGCATTGCTCCGCCAAGATGGATTCCAGCAAGAAGGATTCTGAGAGGTTGGGAGGACATATAGACTGGAGTGTCCTCTCTCCTTTTGACCTTTACCAAATTCTTCCGGTTGGTGGTAGCTTATTAGTTCCACGTTCCTTACCAGGACCTCCTGTTGTAAGATAACTCGTGCAAGTGGTTACGATCATATCTGGCCACGGTGGGTGGTTTTGGTCAGTGGTTCCCCTAACAGTTCCAGAACCCTCCCCAAAAGGATGCCAAAATCTAAGGAAGGTCAAGTCCCTTATACAAAATGGCATAGTTGGCCCTCTGTATCCGTGGGTTCCACATCCATGGGTACAGAAGGGGCCAACTGTATGTAGGCAAATGCAGTCCTGATACTGACGGCAACTGAACCCAAGGGCCTTCATGCAATTGCACAGGGATAGGATCTAGACAGTGAGAGGAGAGGAGGGCCTAGGAAGAATCCTGTGAGAACTTGTAACACTTAACGGCCAGGTACTGGAGGCTGACTTGTAAGGGAGAGTGTTTGAGAAAGAGCGCTTGGAAGTGTCGGCAAGACCAAGAAGGAGAGGGATTCAAAGAACGAGCTCTGTCACCAGAATTCAATCCTGGCTCAGGTTACTACTAGCCAGAGGACCTACAGTAATTGACTTAATTGTTCTGTGCCTCAACTTCCTCATTTGTAAAATGAGGATAATAATAGGGTTATTGTGATGATGAAATGTGAAGGGCATAGAGTAAGCCCTCAGTCAGCACTAGCTGCTGTTATTGTTAATCATTCCACAGAAAGAGGAAGTTTTTCTTTTTCCTAAAGGCTTATCTCTTGGGAAGCCTGGCACATGGTATTATCCCCCATGGGATTATCAGACATTAGTCATCAGACAGGTCTAATGAAATTTCTCTCTATGGTGTTGCAAAATTCCTTTTCCAAGTCTGCCTGGTTGGCCTACAGCTGTAGTTGTACACTGGCAAAAAGTTTTCCATTCAAAAAAACATTTAGAAGCATTTGTTGAACCCCTTTCATGTGCGAGGACTGTGTTGGGTGATGGTGGGATACAAAGATGAATGTAATTGTGTGTGTGTGTGTGTGTGTGTGTGTGTATGCATGGGGGAGGGGGCAGCAACAGCGACTGCTACTCTCTTGTTTTTGCTAGACTTGAACCAGATCAGATGCGAACCTGAGGAAGCACCTTGTGAAGTCCAAGGATGAAGCTAACTTGGCAGACGGCAGAGCCAAGAGACAGAGAGATGTAGAGAGTCCCAGTGCGATGGCATGTTTGAACCCTGGCTCGAACAATGCCTTGTGAAAATTAATAAGGGGAAACCCTACTAAAATAGTCAGGAGGCCAGAAAGGGGAGATCTCATGCACATACAATTCAGATCCCAACCGGAAGAGATGTACCTTGCGTCTCCAGCAGGAAGTGACAATATTTTATCACCTCCAGAAAGAAGAAAAAAGATTCTCTTTGCTTGGCAAGAGCTCAGCCAATGAAAAGCCACTATACTGGGAAACTTCCAGTTTTCCTCTAATGGACATTTTGTTTGTAATAGTCCCTCCCAACTTCCCCTTCTCCTCTATAAAAGAGTTTCCTTTCCTTTGCTTTACCGGGACTTGCATGTGGTTTTCCGTAATTGCATGTCCCAAATTGCAATTTTTTGCTGCTCCCAAATAAACCCATTTTGCTGATAAAATAACTGACTGTTTATTGTTTTAGGTTAACAAGCTGAAGAGGGTCGTATTTTCTAACTTTTCATGAATGGGATCCAATAAATTGCTTAAACCATTTTGAATTAGATTTTCCTTCCCTTAGAATGGAAACAGCCCTAAATGATGCTGGTGATAACATTTGCCTCCTGCCTTAAAATTTACTAATGACTTTGTTCCCAGTTGTGAATGCCCTAATTAAATGAACTGTTGAAGTTGCATAGTTAGCCAGTTTCAGAAACTGGAGTAAATTCTAAGTATCTTTTTTCTTTTTAATTACATTATGGAAAATTTCAAACAAATACAAAAGTAGAGACAATGGTATAATGAACCACTATGCTTCTCTCACTCTTTTCAACAGTTAATCAACTCATGAACAAACTTATTTCACCTAGTCTACCCTCCATCCCCTGAAGTGGACTATTTTAAAGCATATCCCATGCTTCATGTCATCTGATTAGTGTGCCCGGATCATAGGACTTCATTGTATCTGCCAAGGAGCAGGGAGAGGGGAGATCTAGCCCGCTTCAGACCCCAAGACTCCTCCAGCAGAGGATTCCCTCTTGATGGTGGTAAGTCAAAAAAGCTGACTTTCCATTTTAAGTGGTAATAACAGTAATACAAAAGAGAGAGAGGGTAATCAGGAAAAGCTTTTGTATAGGAAAAAGGATTAAACTGAGCCCTATGAGGTGGGTTGAATGTAGGTACCTAAAGAAACAAGAGAATAGGATTTATTTTTTATTTCTAATATAATAAATAAGTATAATAGTAAGAAAACTTGGAAAATTAAGAAATGTAGGAAAAATAGCCATTAAAATTCTTATTAACCAAAAAGCCATTGGGGTTTGGATTTTAATGTTTGATTTTTGTGTTTTGTTTACTTGTTTTTTGTTTTTCTTTCTGTATATAGGTTAATTGTAACTGTACTACAAGTTTATATCCCTATATTTTTAGTTAACAGGGTAAGCAGTTTTCTAAGTTACCATGGACTCTTTGTAAACATAATTTTTTTTTTTCTGGCTGTGTCACGTGGCTTGCGGGATCTTAGTTCCCTGACCAGGGATCAAACCTGGACCCCTGGACCCCAGCAGTGAACGCACTGAGTCCTAACCACCAGACTGCCAGGGAAGTCCCTGTAAACATAATTTTTAATAGGTGCATATTTCATTAAGGATGTATAGCGTGGTTTATTTGATCAATCTCCCATATTTTGGCATTCTGATCCCTTTTATTGTGTCTGATTATATATAACTATGTAATGAGTATTTTTTTTGTTTAAAACTTTTTCTGAATTTTGAGTTAAATTGTAGCAAAATTACTGGTAAAAGAGTACGAATATTATAGAATGGAGTATTTCTAATACTGATTTTACACCATCTTATACTGTTATCTCAAAAGGTGATTCAAGCTTCTTAAGGTAAAATTGATAGAAACATTAATTTTAAGAACATAAGACCTAGAGTGTATGTCATAGAAATATAATTTTGGGTTTGCTTTTTTTTTTCTGGCTGTGCTTCACAGTTTGTGTGTGAGATTTTAGTTGCCCAACCACCAGGGAATTCCCCTACAAATATAATTTTTAAGTGGGCACACAGCCATCCAGAAAAAAAGACTACATTTCCCAGCCTCCCTTGTAGCTAAGTGTGATCATGTGATTAAGTTCCGGTCAGTGAGATATAAGCAGAAGTGTTCTCTTGCCAGTGGATGGAAACCTTCCCCAATGGGTGCTTTTTGCCTTTTTTTTTTTCCTCTTCTTTTTTTACTTTACTGGCTGGTAATATGCATGCCATCATTTGGGATAATGAGCATAAGGACAAAAGCCTAGTCACGGTGGGAGACAAGCTGGAAGAGGCCAGGGTCACTGAGAACTTTGAGGAATGCACCCAGCATTCCACTCCCTCCACTTCCCTACCCTTTGCATGGGAGAGAGAAAGTTCCATCTTAAGCCACTGGTGGTTTGGGTTTTCTACCACATACAGCCAAACCTTATTCTAACTGAATATGGCTTTAGAAACTAGGAGTAGCATTGTTACACTCTTTTTCATCAGCCCAGAGAAGGAAAGAGTTACTGCCCTGGCAGAAAGCATTTCAAATGTACTTCGAGAACACGTCATTAGGTTTGGCTTAAGTATTGCTGATTCCAACAAAAAAGAAAACTTTAGTGTCAACAGCAGGAAATCCCAAGTAAAACTATAGGATTCATCATGTCCAACTTCCAATTTAGTTACCTCAAGTGTAAAAGGAAAAAAAAGAGAGTAGGGGTAGGGTAAATATATCCCAGTTTATCTTTTTTCCAGAGATTCCCATCCCTACTCCAAGAACTATGAAAAAGTCCTCCTGAGAAAACTAAAACCAAAAATAAAGTGGCACTGGCATCTCTCTGGGAACACATTTAACTCTGCTCTGAGAAGGAGAACCTGTTTTAATTTGCTAAAGCCCAAGTCTAGCTCTGTTTTCCTCTGAGCTGGGAAAAAGAAACCACTAAGAAAATATCTTAAAACAAAAATGTCAATCTAAAAAAGAGAAACAAAATGCCAAGTCAAAAGAAAGTCACGTTAGAATGTATTTTGGTGAAAGCACGGATAACTTTGGGGCTCAGATATGTTGGGAATGGGGAATCAGGGATTTTTGTTATTGTTTGTCAAAAAAAAGTGCTCATTTCTGGGGGCAGCGAAGGGAGTAAGATGTTTTGCTGGGATGTTTAGAAGCAATCCTGGCCCTTGCTTTTTCCTGCCATTAGGAATTTGTCGGCAGTCAAAATCAGGATCAGATTCAAAAGCAAAGAGCAGCCTGTAGGTGACCCTCTTCAGAAGGAAATAGCATCACCAATGACGTAGCTTAATTTGATGCCTTCTGGTGTAAAGAACTCTCTCGACCAGATCTCCCCACTCACTGTCCTCTCTGCAAAACCACGTGTGATAGGTCTGACCAGTTCCTGTAAGATGCCTTCTTTCCCTCTAACTCATCCTGGATTGAAGCTTTGGGTGCTTGCAAACGAGCTGTAGAGGGGCCATCCAGTCTGTGGTTACACACGGCAAGATGTCAGCCCGAGCCAGCTTCTTCCCGCCAGTCTGCACACCTCTGAACTACTCCAATCAGTGTTCACCTGGGGAAAGCAAAGTTGAGTTTTGTCTTAGGCAAAGCCTAACAGAGGTAGCAAATCTGTTTCCAAAATAAATCGTATAGTGCATCTCAAAGCCAATGGGATTAGAAAGAAACCTGCAAACATCCTCAGCCATTCTATTATTGAGATAAATAATTAACCTTCAGCAAGTCAAATTTACGTATGGACTTTAGGAGGTTTCTGATGTCATAAGTCTTTTTTTTTTTTTTTTTTTTTGGCCGTACGCAGGCCTCTCACTGTTGTGGCCTCTCCTGCTGCGGAGCACAGGCTCCAGACGCGCAGGCTCAGCGGCCATGGCTCACGGGCCCAGCCACTCCGCGGCATGTGGGATCTTCCCGGACCGGGGCACGAACCCGCGTCCCCTGCATCGGCAGGCGGACTCTCAACCACTGCGCCACCAGGGAAGCCCCATAAGTCTTTTTAAAAATAGACATTTCACCTCTAGGGTAAAGGAGAGGGTTGTAGAACTTGGCAATGAAATCTATACTCTCTCGGAGAAAAAGAAAAAAAGACTGAGGCGTATGACTTTAATCGTTGATGGGTTTTAGCATTACATTCCAGTGTGTTCCACCAGCGGCACAGCTCGTTATTACCTTGGGCTTTTTCTTCAAAAGCCACCTGCCTGCTTCCCTAGCGCCTGGAAGGTTGCCCTTGTTCCTTGCTCACTTTCCCTTTAAGACTTGTTAGTGTTTCAGCTGGTAAAGGTCCAAGTGCCCTCTGGAATAATTGGCACGATGTGCAAATTTTCCATTTCGGAAGCAAAAGAGCCTGTTCTCCAGGGAGGGCTCTTCCAGGTAATTGCTCTCTGAGAGATTCCTGCCGCTACCTTTGGCAGCCTTCACCAGAGACAAATCCCTTTTGCTGTTAGGACAAGCTAGAAACCCAGAGATGGAAAAACAGGGGCTCAGGACAGACATGCCAAGACCTTTGAAACCAGTGACCTTTCCAAACAGAGGTCAGCACAGGCCAAGGCATATGAACCCCGCCTCCCCCCTCCGGGCAAGACAGGCACAACAGCTCTGCCCCAACATTTCCATCGCCTTCCTTTCTCAAAAGAGCTTCCTTTTTCGAAGGAGGGTTGGTAGAGGGAGCTAATGTATTAATCAGGATTCCAAGCAGGGAGAGAAAAGCCTTTAACAACTTGGGCTGGAGGGAGGCACCCAAAGGATGTGCTGGATGAGGAAAACTGGTTTGCTAACCCGAGGGCGGCTCCAAGAGGAATTTGGGTGAGAAGGGGAGAGTGAGAAGGAGAGACTTGGAAAAGAAAAGAGGGAAGTCCTCCCTCAGCCACCACCTGCCACCCCAGGCAGAGGATGTGTGGGGGAGGGGGGAGGGAGGCTGGAGGGAGCGGTGACAGAAGAACGGGTGGCAGGCTGGAAAGAAGCATGGAGGAATAAAAATGGAATTGTTGTCTTCTGTGAGCTGTGCTCTGGAGATCCCCTTCCTCAGCTCTGCTTTGAAATCTTCAGTAACGTTTCTGTTGTTCCCTGTGGTGGTCAGTGCATCCTTTTGGTTTTTTTGTCGTTGTTTGTTTGTCTGTTTTGTTTTGCTTTTTGTGGGACTATTTTGGCCCTGCTGCGTGGCTTGTGGGATCTTGGTTCCCCGACCAGGGCTCGAACCCGCACCCCCTGCATTGGCAGCGCTGAGTCTTAACCACTGGACGGCCAGGGAAGTCCCGAGTGCATCCTTTTGGGGGACGCTGGGGAGCTGCTCATTCTGTGGTCTGTTGACGCTGAGTGAAAAGAGGGAGCGGCTGGACACAGGAGATAGGAAAGCCCCGGCTGGGTTACGGCACTTTGGTTCCTCTGTGTGTGCACATCTCAATCCTGGAAAACAGCAGAAAGGAAATGACATCCAGAGTTGTTTTCGGGTGGAGAAGGGAGACTCGAAGCCCCCAGGGTGAGGGGAGATGTGAACTTGGAACTACCTGACTCCAAAGCTCATGCCTTAATTATCTGTACAGTCGCATCTTCCCACACCCCCCTTTCCCAGCCCTGCATGGAGCTTTGGGACTGTGGGAATTCATGTCTACGAGCTTCTGGCCCCTATATCTGGTAGGAGGAACGTAGCATGGGGCATAAATGTGTGGGTTTTGGAGCCAGATTCTCTGGGTTTGAATCCTAGCTCGGCCGTTTACTAGTAGTGTGACCTTGGGCAAGTTATTCCGATTCTCTGCACCTTTCTTATCTGCAGAGGCAAGACAATAACCATGCCTTCTTTATAGAGTTGTTAGGGGAAGTAATTGAGATACGCACAGAAGAATTTTAGCCAAATGCACTAAATGTTAGTTGTTATCATTATTTCTGACAACAACACAGGATCATGCCACGAAGAGCCCTGCAGCTCAGTGATGATTATGGTACCCTTATATCCATCTTTCTGATCCGCAGAAAGAGTTCAGGTTCTGAGGCCAAACAGACTGGGTTCCAACCTCAGCTCTGCCCCTTCTGGCTGAATCACTCTGGGCAAATTACTTAACCTCCCTGTGAAAGGGGTAAAAAACCACCTCACCTGAGGTGCAGGCTTGTTGGGCGGGTAAACTAACATGAAAAGTAGCTGACCAAGGCCTGTCCATCTGTTTTGATCATGACACTGTCTAGGAGCTCCCCTGCCCTACTATGCTTTACTACACATATATTCTAAATAGCTCTGGGGGCTCCTAGGACATCAGACTTTTCCCACATTTGGTTAAGTTTGACTGGAGTCAAACTCAGTGAGAACTGTTCCTTCTGTTTTGTCTGGAAACCCAGTTGGCCTCATCTTAGCATCTTGCTGGGCAGGTTGGCTGAAGTATGACAAAGGCTATTTTGAGATTGCTGGGAAAACTAAACTGGCTAAGATGGAATAAACTAAGTCAAACACATTTATTATGAGCCAGAGCCTTTTCCTCTAGCTTTGGGCAGTTCTGCATGTTAGCTGCTTCCTCTTCCCCTTCCAGGGACCTCCCCAAAGGCTTTTGTCACTGATTGCCACAATCTGTAATGTTTATTCCTCCTAGGATACCAAGCCCCATTATAGTCCCTCTAGAAGGCTTGATTTCCCTTTGTGTGTTGCCCGGGGACCAAGACATTTTGTTTGGCTGTTGAAAGAGTAGCCCCAGAAAGTTGAAGGACTTGGGAGCATATATATCCCTATATACGTGGGTAGAGATGCATTGAAATTGCCCTGGAAGAATACACCTGAAGGCTAATGCAGCTATCTCTAAATGTGAGATAACATGTTTTGTTTTGTTTTTTTAATCTGTACTTTCTAATCTTTTCTACAACAAAAAGTATGGCTTTTGCAATAGGGGAAAAATAATTGTTAAAGATAAAAGTGATATTTTTAGCTAGAAAATCCCTCCAACAGATGTTTATCAAGGCTGTATTGTGGACAGCACTGGGCGTGGCACTGGATGAACAAAAGGGATAAGACCGCTGCACTCAGAGAAACTGTAATAAATGGAGGGAAACCTTCAGTAAACTAATAAATATGTCATGACAAAGTGAGATGCACGCTTTGAAAGAAATGACCTGGGTGCTGTGGTTGAGAGTGATGGAACCTGCTTGAGAAAGCAGTTCCCTAGGCTCAGATTTTTAGGAGGAAAAGGAGGCTGCAATGCACAGAGTGGACAGAGGACGGTTCCAGACACTGGAAGTGTCTGCAGGATGGTCCTGAGACAAGAGCAAGCTTGACACATGGGAAGGAGTGTTTGGAGAACAGAGGTGAGATTTGGAGGGGAGGGGCCAGTTCATGCAAAGCCCCTAGGCCTTGATAAAGAGTTTTTTGGTCTTTATTCTAAATGCAAGAGGAAGACCGTTAGGAGGCTCTTGAAAGAAAGGAGGCTGGGATGGTGCCCATGGAGATGGAAAGAGGTGCGTGGATTTAGGGCGTTTTGAAGACAAAACATGCTGTTGGACTGGAGGTGGGGAGTGAGAGAGGGCAGTGACACAGATGGCTTCCCATCTCCCGGCTTGGAATTATCCATCAAAGTGAGACAGACTGTGGGAGGAACAGGTTTGGACTTAAACTTCAGATGACTGGGTTTATTAAAAGGGCAGCGTTCAGAGGTGGCTCAGACCTCTGATGTGGTAAAGTTCAATGCAAACAAGAGAAACAATTCACCCAGTCGCTTTGGCACAAGTTAACAGCTTTAAAAAGGTTTAGTTCCTTATTTATAGAACTGTTAAGGACTTAAAAGAGTCATGTATGTGTTTGAGTTGTACCTGATTTCATTTTATGGCTGACAATACGTGCTAGAGGGGCAGTTGGTGGTTTGAGGTTTCACAAAGATAACAGGTATAACCCTTGTGAAATAAAAGTCTTATTTTTATGGCAAGACAAGAAAAATTTAAACAAAAATCTCTGCCCTTTGGCCTCCTCTCTCCCCCACTGTGCATTGTGTATCTGCATTTTACATTGACCAGACCTCCCCCATCGGTAGAAATACCTGCTTAGCCATAAAGAGCAACATTCTCCCAGCATCAACAAGACAACTCCTTAAAAGATAGCATTCCTTCTTGATCTTGTTAGGGGTCACATGACCCACCACGATGAGGCTTATATCTGGATTATGTAAACTGTCAATAATATGTCATTTGAGGTACAGTCCTCTGTCTCAAAAAACTTATGTAACAAAAACAAAACAAAAAAAACCTTATGTAACTGTGCCTTGACTTCTAAGGAGGTGGAACAGTTCTCAGAGCTTTCTGAGATGCTCTTCCCAGGTTATAATCCTCAAATTTGGCTTGAATAAAATTTTCCATTTTTTTCTTAGATTGAATGATTAATTTTTTGTTGACACCCTCATGAAAATCAAAGGTCTATTATAGATATACTAGACAACATATTTTGGACAAATTACTGGAATAATTTCCAATAAAACTTTATGGAAAATATAAAGTGGCTACTAGTTGGTATATAGTCTACGGATAGACAATAGTTGTCCTTTTTTTTTTTTTTTTTTTTTTGTGGTACGCGGGCCTCTCACTGTTGTGGCCTCTCCCATTGCGGAGCACGGGCTCTGGACGCGCAGGCTCCGTGGCCATGGCTCACGGGCCCAGCCACTCTGTGGCATCTTCCCAGACCCGGGCACGAACCCGTGTCCCCCGCATCAGCAGGCGGACTCTCAACCACTGCGCCGCCAGGGAAGCCCAATAGTTGTCCTTTATCTAGCACTTACTATGTGTCGCTCATTCTGTTATACACTGTAAATAAAAGTCCTGTTTGAGCCCCATGTTATTTACCATCCAATTTATATGTGAGAAAAAAGGCTCAGAAAGGTTAAGTAACTTCCACAGAGTCACAGAAC